GGACCATGAGCCTGTGTAAGCAGAAGGTGTGCATCAATGCAACCACCAACAGGTGAAGTAATGTAAATACCTGAACGGGGAGAAAATACCAACAACAACAATGGTCAACAAGCAAAATACAGGTAAGTTTCCCAGGTTTAAATCTGATTCCTAAAGAAAACTGTACAAGTCCTAAAGGTAGGACCAGCCAGTCTAAGGGTGACAAAAGGCCCTAAAATGGGAAGGAGGGGGGAGTACCACTACCGTTAGGGAAAATTCCACTAAGCTAGAGGGTGCAGAGTGGCTAACCTACATATCTAAGAGAGAACCAGGAGCTGTCTGAATCAGAAGAGGTGAAGTTCCCTAGAGGACAGGGGAACTGTTATCAACTCAGGGGATCAACTTGATGCTCAGATCAGGAAAGAAGTGCTGCCAAAAGGGAAAGACTACATCGTAGGACCATGAGCCTGTGTAAGCAGAAGGTGAGCATCAATGCAACCACCAACAGGTGAAGTAATGTAGCTACCTGAACGGGGAGAAAATACCAACAACAAAAATAGTCAACAAGCAAAACACAGGTACACCACCAGTAATAAAGACATGAAGTTGTTTTCATAAGAATTCAAATTCAAAGAATTTGCAGGAAACTGTAAGCAAAAGCAGAGCTTAGGTTGGACGCATAATCTGATTCTGTACTGACAACCAGGTCAACGATTGGACAGTCACAGTTTGCAATTTCAAAAATGAGTTTTAAAGCCCAACTTCAGGGAAAACTTTTTTTTGCTCTGGATAGTATGGGGAATGGTTAGAAGAACCTCTGTGTTGTGTTCCCCTGCTAACCTAGCCCAGAGTAGACATCTGCTTACCACTTCAGCAGCCACCGCTCCTGACCGAGTCCCGCCTTGCTCCACAGCGCTCCACCCGCTGAAAGGCAAGCTTTGCCCCCTCTGCACGTACACAGGAATGTACCAATATTACCAATTGTAAGGGGCAGGGACTGTACAAAGTTACAGCCCTAGCCCTATGTCCTAAATGCCGCTGTGGACCACGCAAGTGCCACTCATGGATACCAGTGTCCGAGTACGGACACCATGCTGATCCCTGCCGGGGATTCAGATTCAACCCACACTTTAAGAAGCCCTGATCTGGTCAATCACTAAGACTGTCCTCGGAGGTCAGCTGGTAATTGCCTGGATAATACTGTATAAACCCCATTCCCTCATATACTGTATACACAATACTTTTTACTGTGTCACTGGGAGACATATTCAGGGTAGGTGTAACTTTATCAATATGGCTAATTTATGGCTGTGTATAAATATTTTCTTTTTATTAAAATTTGATTTATTTACTGGTACTGGCCTCCCCCCACAATTGTTCGGACATTCTTATAGTCTTAGTGATTGACCAGGTGGTGATGGTAATTTTGACAATGTTTGTATCTATGCTAGTGTCGTGTTGACTTTTGGGCAGATTCTCAGTAATTATGATTCTTTGAGAATATTTGATTATACTGTATACAACTGCACTGGTGTCTTTTAATTGCATTTTAATATTTGCATAAAAAAATTGATTTCAGTCAAAATTTATATTAATGCCTTATGTTTTAATCAATAATTCTAATAATTTTTGTATGGATATATACTGTGTTGAATGAAGTCACCGAAGAATTTTTTTTTTAGAGATGTATTAAGAATTTTGACTTCCAAGCTTGCGTCCAACTTTCATGGACACAAAGACATGGTTAGAGGCGAGGGCTAACTTTCAACCTTTTTTCTGTTTGCTAGTGTCCAAACCTTCTGTAGGTGGCATAATATAACCTGTTTCAGAATGTCTGTGTCCCTCAAAGGATGATAAAAAAATGTTTTTTTATTAATTTAGCTCATTCTTTGAAAAAAAAATATAAAAATATAAATAAAAGTTTTAAAACCATGTAAAAATATTTAGGCAAATTAGGCACAGAGTTATTGTCCAATTAACTGATGCGCACTGACACTATTAGGTTTGGATTGGGCATCCATTCATCAATGACCTCTGGTCACGAAAAGGTTAAATCTACATAAGCAATGCCTAGTTACAAAGTCAAACACAAAATTACAAATAACGTATTATTTCACATTAAATGGTACGTGTTTGAAACAAAGTTCATCAGGTGGAATCTACAGTATAATAGATAAGTAAAAATGACATGCATTACAATACTTTTCATACTAACCATAGTACTCCCATATCTACAACGAACTTTATTTGTAAGTTCTGTTAATAAAAATTAAATTTTTAAAATAAAAAATGGAAACATAATAAAGTAAGTAGACCAAGGAAAAAACTCCCTTGGATTAATAATACATGCCATGGTTGTATAATGTTAACCTTTAATGACATTTAGCTTTGCCTCGGAAAATAAGACAACATAGCAATGCTTAAGCCAATGGAGCCCATCCAAGCCAAAGATTTATCTAATGTACTCAGAAGTGAGTTTCAATTATTTTTATCAAACAATAATCAAAATCTGTGCTAATAGAAATGACAGGGATTTTTACAATACGTTGTAGTGATTATAATGCAGCAAATAGAACACTCTTGGTATGATCATGTGTATTCTTTTTCTGTGGTATAAGGCAGCTTTTCTCAACGAGGGTGCCAAGGACCCCCTGGGGGTGCCTTTTGGCTTTGTCAGGGGTGCCTTTAAATTTCTGCACAGTTTAATGCATTGCCATAGTACAGGAGAGACAGCCAACAGCCCCATGGAACTGCATTGTGCTAATCCAGGGCGGGATGCATCCAGGACCTACCCCAGCATTCAGATATGGGCAGAAGTCCACTCTGCCCATACCTGCTCCACCTCCCACCCTCTGCCATGCTGCTGCAGCCACACTGTGGTGGAGTTAGGAAACAGGGGACCTTCTGATGTGGTGTTTTTTTTGTTTTTTTTGCATGGGGTCAGCTTTACAATCCATACCAGAACCCTATCTAGGATCTACATGTAATTTTTTTTACATTTGTACTCGTTAGACTAGGGTTTCTCGAGATTATATATACTTTTAACGGATGCTACGACTGAAAAAAGGTTGGGGTTCAATCCACAGAGTTAGCATACCAGTGGGTTTGCATACATTTTTCTTTCTCTATAATGGACAGGACAAAAAATTAATTTATATAAAACATTATTTTGGTTAGGTAAATATAAACTATTGCATATTAATATTTTATGTTCTCACATCCTGTCAACAGTTAGAGCTCTTTTCACAAGCTTTCCAGTTTCTCCTTACCTTTCATTGTAAAAAAGCCAGTAAAGTGACAGTGGCAAGGGTAGGATCAAACTATAACACTACCAGTTGCAACAGTTTTTTGACAACAGAATTGAAATAATGTGAATAAAAGCTGCCTATTGTAAGCATCCCTGGAAGTTTTATAAATTGTCCCAAACCCCGGCATTGTCACTTTTGCAGGACAGCTTGGTCTCATGTAAATGTAAATAAAATAAAGACATATGAAAAAAAAGTCAAATACTGAATACTTTCATTACATAATTTAACCATAAACACCATAAGAACATCAGAATACTATATTTCCCAAGCCAACTGAAAAGTTTAATCTTCATTGGCATTTAAAAAACGAGACTGACCATTTTTACTTTTACCGTTCTCTTTCACAATTAGAAGTGCAGCTGTGCATGCTCCTAGCTGTGAGATAGAACTGTTAAGGTGCCCACACACCTTACAACCATCACAAGACTTTTGTCTTGCGATGGTTGTAAGCTAATTAAAAGCTCGTACGATCTGCCCATCTTGGACAGGCAGAGCGTACTTGCGATCATCGAAAGCCCGCCCCCCCAAGGGGTGGGCTTCTGATGACTGCAATGCTGAACGGGCAGTGTGCGCTTGCGCACACCGGCCCGTTCGGCATTTGTCTCCCGAGCATGCCACAAACCCGCCGACAATTGTACGATTCTCGGCGGGTATTCAAACAGGCTCGTTAGACAAAAGACGTGCAACCGTACAGTAGAAACGGTCGCACGCCTTCCATACACCTTGCGATTATCGTATGATTGCGTGATTTCCCACGATTATCGTACAATAATCGCAAGGTGTATGGGCACCTTTAGTCATGGCCTCTACTAGCAATTGGAATCCATTCAGCATGGTTCCCTATCGTGTGATCAACATTTTAGCTATGACGTACTTTTTACATGAGGTTTGCCAGTAAACAAACCTTTAAGGCAGCATCTGTCAGTGAACTTCTTTCTCTGTTTACTTGCTGTACACGGAGAAAGAAATACAGTTTTAAAGACAGTATAGTGTTGAAACAAAGTTAATAAAAATGTGAACTTTTTTTAGAAAGTATTTTTTCACATATTTGTCAGCCCCAAAAATAATGTAAAAAATATTTAGGTAGGAAAATTAGTCATAAAGCTATTGCCAAGTTAACTGATGCAAACAAATGCTGCAAAATCTGGGTTAGGCATTCACATAAGGAATTCACATTGCTTATGCCGCTATGCATTGCTTATGTTGGTAACGCTACATAACCAATGCCTAGCGTTGCAGAGTAATGCACAAATAAATTTATTTTTCTTTTTTGCTTATGCCGCTATGCATTGCTTATGTAGGTAACCTTACATAAGCAATCCTAGCGTTACAGAGTTATGGACAAAGAAAACATGTAAATAATATATTTTTTTATTTGGTAAATATAAATCATTTCGTATGAATATTTTGTGTTCTCATATCCTGCCTGCAGGTGAAGCTCTTGTCTCCCTTTCACAAGTGGTTCAGTCTCTCCTTACCTCCCATGGAAAAAAAGCCAGTAAAGTGACAGTGACCAGAGTGGGATTCAAAATATTACACTGCCAGGTGTGCTGTAGCAATTCTAACAGTTTTTTTTTTTAAACAAGATTTAAACCATGTGAATAAAAGCCCTATTCACCTAATGGCCCTAATGTTAAATTTGAGCAGATTACAAATGACATATGAGGCTCCGATTCACTTAAAACCAATTCACATAGAGGACTATGGCATTACCTGTTGATAGTCTTCCTCGTCGCTGCTTACTTTCAGGTCATCTTCAAGCATTCTATTAGGGACAAACATAAAAAGTATATACTTAATTCATTTAGAAAGTAAATAAAATCTTAACAAGCACCAGCAATATTATTGAACAAAACATTCGGCAACCCACTGTGAATGCTATTTTGCCCCTGTGTCTGCTAATTAGTAGAGTATAACGTGATTATTGCTGCTGCTTGAAAAGTTATAATTACCTAAGAAAACAAATCTTGCCCTTGATTTGGCACCTAAGCAAACTATTGCAGATCAAGCAACATTTATAAACTGCAGTAGGAAACAAAGCTTAATTATCCTTATAGATTGTTTAATAATTCCAGTCACCATTCTTTCTATGTAAAGAGCATATTTTACAGTCTCTGACAAACATGAAAATAAAAGGGTCTATGATGATGGGCTTTTGTTTGCTTCAAATGGGTTTTGCATACACATAAAAGTCTATGGAAAAGCAAAAGAAGCTGGTCAAAAGCAGGTCAGAAGGAGGTGTGCACCTGTCAATGAATTCCGAATATCGGATATCAAACTATTGCCATTGACAGAACCCAAAGCCCACGGACACAGACCTAACAGATATGCTAATGGACAACAATAAACAGCTTGTGTGAAAGCAGTAGTAGTTTTGTTTGTAAAGATCTACCTGCACCATTTCTCAATATATGCATTTTTGGACTGTTCTACAATTACCTACCAGTATTGTCATTACACCTAAAGGTAAATAACTAATCAAAGATTTAATCATATGCAACAATCTATTCCAAAAATGCCTGTCTGATACAGCAAAAAGTAAACACTTGTCTGAATTCAACTGAATTTTCCACAAGTGTGAACAATTTCTGTTTCAACCCACCAATGCATTCAACTTGTAAAATTGTGATTCTATAATTGAAATGTGATTCCATTATTCAAATTATTAATTATCCAATATTAGTTAAAGTTATTAAGACTTTTCATTCTCCAACATTAAGGGAGCCTGTTCACACCACCAGCTGGAAACAGCACATCACACCACTGTAACCTTTTTAAAAAAAAACTTTATTGAAATTTTATTTACTAAATTTCACTCGGTCCTATCAACCTCAGCCACAGTTTGAATGCGGTAAATTGTATCACACCACGCATGCAGTACTGTTTTATAGTGCACACCACCACAACTGTTCTGACTGTAAACAAGGCAAATAGACTGCACTATGCAAGGCTAACCAGTTTAGCCCAGCTCAGTTCCCCAACGTGGTCCCTAAAATTATCACTAGTTTATGGTGATGAGAAACCAAAAGCCCTCCACCAGTGAAAAGCACTGTTGAGGTGGGAGGGGGCGTGGGGTTGTATTGAAGTAAATGGCGCCGCAGCCACGCGCCCTGCCCACAGTGCGATCGCCCGCACCTGGAATCCAGGCACCTTAGTGCCTGGGGTCTAGTCCAGTGCGATCTGCAGAAATAGTGCTTGCAGCATTTTTGCAGATTGCACTGGACTGGAATGCAGGCACCAATGTGCCCGCGTTCTGTAGATCTCCAGACAAAAAATTGTGGGCGCCCCTGCTGTACATGTACTGTTGGAGAAGATAAGAAAATAAGCTTCAGTAAATGTATAAGAATAAGCAGTGTCCCCCCAGCATAATAAAGCAGTTCTTAATGTGCACTCATACAAAGCCATAAAATATAGTTTTAACCCCTTAGTGACACAGATTCAGAAACGTTTTTCGTTCTGGGTACCGGAGCAATTTTGCCATTTTTGCTATGTGTTTGTTTAACCATAAGTTCCATCTTCCTCATTCATTGCACCTACACATATTATATACTGTTTTTTAAAGGACAAAATGTGATTTAAGTTGATGTGACATATCCATATATAAATTCTTATTTTTTTATAAAAAATACAAAAAAGCAAAAAATGGAAACAAAAATTACATTTTTCATAGTAATAATAATAATGTGTACCTAATTAGTGTAGTTAACAGAAAGTAATTCATAATAAATAATTTTATTTGTCCTGATTTAAAGGGAATATCATGTCTGGGGTTTAAGTTTATTTTGGGAGTTATAGGAGTGAAATACAATTTTAGTGTGGAACAATTTTAGAATGAGGTATGTTTGTCATCTAACTTCAATAGCCTCCTCGGCACTATATATTCGTATAATTTTTTTATTAGACTTATTTATTCCTTTTTAGACTTTTTTTTTACTTTTTCGAAAATGTTTTAAAACTTTGAAAAACTGTTTCAAACGTTTTTCTTTTTTTAACTAGGCAGAACTACAGTGTTAATTTGTATTTACAGGGGCTTTTGATACTTAGTATTTTGAGGAGACACTGCATTCTCATTAGAGATACTTTGTACCACTTTTGTAGCACAGTGATCCGGCTTGCAGATCAACACAGTGAGCTGCAAGCCGGATCAGTGACCGAAACAGCACTGCGATCACTGCAATTAGCTACTGCAGTGATCACAGTGCTTGGCCCCTTAATTTGCTGTTGAAGGTCTTCCTAGGACACCAAGGGACCCAGTAACAGTATGAATCCCATGAGTGCTGGTCCTTCTATGGACCAGTGCTCATTTATCCGCATGATGGAATTATTCGTCACTGGTCTTTAACTGATTGATCGTGACGGAACAATTCTATCAGTCAGGAAGGGGTTAAGTGTCTCTGTTCCCTTAACAAGAAATAAAAAAGATACAGTGAATGTTTATAACATTTTCTACTATTTTATTCATAGTTGATAATATTGTGTTGTGTTGTATTTTATGTATAGTTGTATTGCAGTAAACTAAACAATGAAATCCTAATTTGATTATTAATCACTTTTATAAGAAATTATTACTGTATAACAGCTGAATATAATCTACACAGTGTTACTGTGGCAATGTCTACCAAGCATATCTAACGCAAAACATTAATGCTAACCAGGCATTTCAGCGAAGCATGCCACATCATATTATATAAATCATACCATGTAATTATAAAATAGAGGAAGGATTTGCTATCTGTTCAGTAACCCAGCAAATTCCGGCTCTCTTCAAACATCTAGTTTACATTTTTTAATACATCTTTTGGCTGCTTTAAGTAAACAGAGATTTCCTGGTTAAAAAAAGAAAAATGTTTAGCAAATCAGCCCCCCAAAAAGAAAAAAAAATGAAAATTTGGGAATTCTACTACACAGGGACTTGAAGAGACCTACTCAAGGTCAAGCTGTTGTTGCAAACGCTAATAAAATCCTTGGATGTATAGTTTATACATATGAGTTAAAGATATAGGTTTGATACACTAAGATGGATGAGTTATTAAAACACCAATTTTTTCAAAATCTCAGATAAATGTCACCAAGATGTGTATTTATTTTTACTAGAAATTAACATAAATCTGTTAAAAGCCTATTTTCCAATAAATCCTTAGTATATTGTAAGTGTTATTTTATCACCCTCTCCATTTCCTTCTGTCCTACGTAAACAGCTATTGAAACTCCCAGTTATCACTACCCTGAAGCTGGTGTTATTTTTGAAAGGGTGATACCCTTTGTGTTAATCTTTGTACATGTGACTTTGATATTACGTTTTTTATAAGGGCTGGTAAAATAACACTAGCAGTGATATAATAGCACTAGTAGTGGTAAGATACTAGTGTTTGCTAGCTGGTGTCCCGCTGGGTAGATCAGTAGGTTATTAATTATTTATGAATTTTTCTTCTTGATACCGTCAAGGTGTCCCTCCTCAATATGCATGTATATCTTGGTGTTCCCTTTTAAAACTTTTTTTAGTTTTGGATAGAATGGGGAAAGGTTATACTACTATCAGGGGCTTTGTTACAGAGATTTACCCTCACTTTCTGTTCTAGGGACAAACTTTTTACCAGAAATGAAGTAAGGGAAAGTCTACAACGAGGAAACAGACAACAATAAAAAGCAGAGACAGAGGTTCTAGCTTTGCCCTAAATTCCCCCTCACTTTTTGTCCTGGTGAAAACCTTTTTTACTAGACATGATGTGCAATAAGATAGATAGATAGATAGATAGATATATAGATAGATAGATAGATAGATAGATAGATAGATAGATAGATAGATAGATAGATAGATAGATAGACTTTAGATCATTAGGCATCCATTCAGAAATTCAATTGTTATCTTCCCCACCCCCCCCTCCAAAAATAAAGTAAAACTCGTAGTAAATGGTTTCAATCCTTTGTTCCTGCATATCACCTTTATTCAGATAACAGGAAAGTGATGGTGACATGTTAAGGATGAATGATCTTATAACTGTAGGGTCTAGAATGATGAGGACACAAGCTACATGACCTTGTTCCAGTTATATTCCACAGTATAAAGCTAATTGTAGACATAATAATGCTACATGGCACAGGAATGTTGTTTGGTTACAGAATCTGTGAGGCACATTTTCCATCTTCTATGCTCTGGAAAGTGTCTACACAATTACACATGTTTGGATTGGCTGTGTCCCAGCTTCTGAATGCATTTCATTTTTCTTTGCACTGAATGAGCCATTTTACTGTGAAATAACACAGAAATGGAACAATATAGTTATGTTATAAACATAAAGAGAAACAATGTTGTTTATTGTGGTAAGAAGAAAAATGCCTGCTCTTTGTTACAATTATATTAAATAGATAATGTAGATTTGTTTTTACAACGTTTTAATAATCAGTTTAATCTTGACTAGATGTTAAAACATGCTTCATTTTTAAAGTACTCATATTTCACACTACTGTCTTTTCTTCTGGGAAGAGGGCGGATACACTTGGAATGTTTTTGTAGTCAGCAAGTCCTGCATTCTTCTGTTAAAAAGTAAAAGGAGAAAACATAATGGGGTCTATTCACAAAGCTGCCGAAGAATCTGGCCGTAGCTTCGGTCGATCCTTCGGCTAGCTTCGGCCCCAGGACCCCTTCATTCTCACTCTTCCTCCTCCCCCCCTTGTCCCCTCCCTCTATATATACCCTCTTTAATGGCAACTACTTCCATGAGCCCAATTATAACCACCATTACATGTGACATATGGATCTCCTCT